ACAATAAAATGTGTCAGGACAACAGTCTTGTAAAGATGGTAATTACAGGAATTCTCTGTGGACCTAACGTTTCGTTTGAGACAGTAAAATGTGTCAGGACAAAACAGAGAACACAATTTGATTTTGGTCATTAAAACCAGTTTTTAAAATTTTGTATAAAAGTAAAGAATTTGGAAGGAACAAAAGAAACTTAAAGGCTTAGCCGTTTTTCGTGGTGAACTGTATTACCTCGTACTCTGGATGCTTTCTAGCAACTTCTGTTTGTTTTTGAAACATCCTAAAGACATCATATTTCCCAGGACATCCGTATCCATATCTTCTTCTGCTGGTATAACGTACATCTGGAGATGTTAAAAATATCTGTTAATTAATTAATACATCATTGTTGAATGATTAACGAAAATTATAGAATTTAACTAAAACTAATTTGTCTGTACATCCAAAATGCACCTAGTCTTCACTTATTTCATCAGTCTCGAAGTAATTATTTAATCACCACATTTTTAGTAAAAACGTCGCAGAAAAAATGAAATGCTATCGTGAACAAAAGTACGTGTGTATTCTGAAAGACTTAAATAACACTCTTAAGCCTTTTCACTGTATTCTAGGTCAGGAAGTAGAAAATATAGTGCGGACATTCCGTAAAAGTAGGTACGGCCACGCGCAGATAACCCTTCGTGTAGCTTTGTTAGAAAATCTGAAAACTAAAAAACAAACACACAAAACATTGTAGTTACTACTACATGCTTACCGAAATGGTATCTGTGATGGAAGGTTTAGGCTTAGATAGACTCCTACTTTCCCTAAACAATAAAAAGGTGAATACTTTAGTATATTAAATACGTATCATGGTCTTGGATGCCTAATAAACATACAACAATCACGTGTTGTTTCTTCAAAAAGACCCGTTTGAACAATAAAATAAAATAGCCAAACTTAGATTCTACGATTCCAAAGAACAATGAACTTACTCGCTTATCCAGGGGTGCTTCAATACTTCCGAAAGCTATCATAAAGAATAGGCAAATCAATACTTGTAAAATTACAAAAAAAAAAGTTTGTCATTTCATTCTATTTCCTCCAGCAACTGAATCTTAACATTTTACTAATCCTGTAGATGTCATTTGTTTTCTGATTGAAGACCTCAATTCTTATAACTAAAATAACACCGATTATTCCCTTAAGTACCAAAAATTATACAATTAACAGTTATTAAAACACGAGTTAGGACGCCTGTGCGAGAAAAAAAAAAACAATCTAAATTAGTTTTTCACAAAGCAGTTCAAAGAAATTTGAATATAAACTATCTCGGCTAAAGTTCTGAAAATATAAAAATGTTGGGTTTCCTTTGTCAAAGACGAAACTTCTTCACCGTTCACAGTCCAAAACTTAATAAACAGTTTATAATCAGTCAGATATTATATTTCTAGCCCAGCTAAAGATAAATACCACGCTTACCGTCATCCGCTTTCCCGGATCGACTTCAATCATTCCTTTCAGTAATTCCCGACATTCCTGGGGGACAAAATCGGGGATCTGGAACATCCCTCGCTTGACTTTCTCGAGCAAAACACGTAGATTCTTGTCGTCGAAAGGTAATGAGCCCTGAACGATAAGTCATAACTTGATTGATGATCCGTTCTTTTAAATTTGATACAAATTTAACAAACCCATTTCTACATTCATGTGGCAATGAAGGAGGAAGATCGTGGAAACATCTAATCTCAACGAGTTGGATAACTACTTATGTTTTCTAGAGATAATATACAAATCTATAATCATCAACATTAAAGACACCTAATTGGTAATTCTGTCGCGATACATTTGTTGAAGTCGACTAAGTTTTGAAAGAAACAAAACGTTACCGAGATATCTATCTAGAACTGTTTACTAATGACAACAATTAACCTCATGTGCTTTTAAATAATGTATCTATCTAGAACTGTTTACTGATGACAACAATTAACCTCATGTGCTTTTAAATAATGTATCTATCTAGAACTGTTTACAGATGACAACTAGACCCGTGCAAAGCTGGTAATTGGCCCAGGCCAGATGTGAAATGTAGGCCCCATTTCAAACTGCTCATTAAGTATTTTTGAACTCAGTGCTAAATACATATGATTTATGTATGGGTATATTCATGTACATGTAGTGTACATGATGTACTTACAAGTAACAGAAACGAATAAAAGAACTAGAATGATTTATAAAAAAGTAATGGCAAGTGATTTTATTCAAAATGTATATAAGACAATAGAGTACAGTACTGTAATAAGAAGCAGTAAATATAATAGTACATTCATGTTAATTCTGTATTCGGAATTTCACATTTAAAAATGCATAATATATTTGGAATACAAGTTGGTTTCAGTTATCTACATTTATTTATCTATGTTTTATCGGTATTAATCTTTTATGAATCTTTTTAAAAATATTAACATTTTGTGCTAAAGGATCCCCCTGGACTCTCTTTACAATATCAATATTCTTTACCAAAGGACCCCCTTTGATTCTAACAGGGGGAGTAGGCCCCCTCAAAATCGTAGGCCCGTGCCAACTGCCCCCCCCTACCTGTCTGGCCTGATGATAACAATAGCCTCATGTGGTTTTAAATAATATATCCAATTGTTTGCCACCTGGTTGTCCAACGGTACGCTTAAGAGCTTATAACGCTAAAACTCTGGTTTAAAAACCAGTGGTGGAGAAAAGAACAGATAGCCCATTGCGTAGCTTTGTGCTTAGCAATAAAAAAAAAAGCTGTTTACAGGTGGCAAAAGTAATGTTCCATAATTTTAAATAACGTCTCTGTTTTGCTAGTTACATAAGACGTATTATTATAATATGTTTTTGAACAATGCATCTGTCAGAACCGGGAAAGCGACAAAAATAAATTAATCATCATGGGATACTAATTAATATTTTATTTTGTAAGATAATGGTTGTTTTGTAGCTTACCAATTATTATTTCTTATATATATATATATTAAGTGTAGTTGTATAACAAGTATACAGAACACTGCAAGGCGAGTGTTTTCTTGTTTTGTAATGCAGAATGATATTTGTATCTTGTTCTATGAATCAAACGAAGATTTTCAGTTAATTGGACTTTCACTATAGACAGTGAAGTTTGACCTAAATGTAACAGTTACCTGTAAATAGTCATTTGTGAGATGCTAAGTACAGTAACACAAGAAACCACCAAGCAGACGACGTGGGAATAATAATAATACTTAAAACATATCTATCTATATACTAAAATTCTGAGATTGTTTGTTTGCTTATTTTCTCAGTCAAAAAATCATTGACACTACCGTTCGCGCTCTTTACGAAACTTCTTACTTCACTTTTTTGAAAAATGAAATGGTCTTTCCTTTTACTCCCGATCAACAATCAAATATTTTTTTGAATTATGAATAACACGAATGGATTGAAATATTTAATTAAATTATCTCAAAATAAACCTTCATTTCGGTACAATATTGAAATTAGCTCGAATTCTTCACAACCTCCGAATAGTGGGTGATCCAACGGATCACGGGTGGTCTAGTATATACTAACAGAAACCAAGAGATCCAAAGGCTTACCACTATCAGCGCATACGTAATTACTCCACAGCTCCACACGTCAGCTCGCTTCCCGTCGTATGTTTCCCCCTAAAGAAGAACAAGGATTAGTTGATTTGATGTTTTTCAGCATATTGTGCGATAATAATCATATTTACACTATCCATTTTCCAGTATTTCTATAAGTATATAAACATTGAATGAAAACTATCTATCTATCTTTGCCATGAGAAATAAATTATCCGTCATTACTTACACGTATAACTTCTGGACTGGCGTAATGCGGGGACCCACAAGACGTCTCTAACATGGTACCTTCAACTTGAAGACACGCCATCCCGAAGTCTGCGATTCGGATGTTGTTCTTGTCATCCAGGAGAAGATTCTCTGGCTTTAGGTCACGGTGACTGTCAAAATACGAACAAACAAAACATTTGTGTGTTTTTTATATTAATCAAAATGATAAATACTTTATGTCACCAGTGGTATGCCCATTTCATAACCGCTCCGAGGATAAAGTAACGAAACGTAACGAAGCAACTAAGACGAAACGCCCCTTTTAGCGAAATAAAAAGCAACAGAACACCAAGAATAACGTATGCTTCTTACCATATGCAATGTTTATGGCAAAAATCTAAAGCAGAAATAATTTGCCACAGGAATTTTCGTGCTTCTTTGGCCTGAAGACGTCCCTTTTTGAGTAGGTAGTCAAACAGCTCACCTCCTGACACGTGCTCAAGCACGAGGTACCTGAAACAACACCATGGACTGTTTAAAATGACTTTTCATTCCGATTTCCTGTAAACCTCGAGGTCGCAACCAATCGTCCACGGAATTTAAGGCTCGCTCTACGATTGGTCAGTCCTGAAAAGTATTTACATTTTCATTGGATAAACATACAACAGGTTTGATCTATATAGCTGGTTTTGGGAAATTCGTAAAGAATGTGAAGGTTAAAATTTTCAACAAACGTAAGACATATCATAACAGAAACCAACCAGTAATATATATTTTTTTACAGTTAGCATTTTTCAGTGTTATATGTTTTAATTTAATGTTTTTAGCTAACACGTTTTTCCCATTTGTGTTTCTAAAATCTAACTGGAATATAATGTTAAATTAAACCATTACATTTGTTTCGTTGGCGTTTATCTACTTTTTGTCGAAAAGGTTGTGTTTTAAGTCAGTGTGGTACAGAATGCGTTTTATGTCTATGTGAATTGGTGGTATGTTTTTACATCTTTTGGATAAGGATGACAGGTAACTTAGGCAAATCAAAGGACAACTTAAACTATTAGTTTAATTTGTTGCTCCTTGCAGCCTCGGTTATAAAGGTCCTTGTTAAAACCTATAGTTTAGTGCGAGTGTTAAACGTTCATGAGAAACCTGATTCGGATTATGGTTAACGAAATGAGCAGCGAAACCAGGAATGGTCTAAAAATCACAGCATTTGGATCAATCTTACAAGTATGAGTTTTTGTCTCCAAATAGTTAACACTTGTACATCTTGACTACAATACGGAAGATAAATTACGATGACGCAACTTGTACAGAATACTCACAGGTACAAATAGTTAACACTTGTACATCTTGACTACAATACGGAAGATAAATTACGATGACGCAACTTGTACAGAATACTTACAGGTATTTCTTGTTTTCATAGACGTCATACAGTTTCAAGACATGAGGATGTTCAATCAGTTTCATGATGGCAATTTCACGCTCCACCTGACAAAGCAAGTTAGAATTACAGTCAGTAGAATGGTTTTATATACGCATCTTGAACGAGAGTATAAAACAGGAGTTACCTTTACTTTAACATGAAATATTTCCCTTAATCTTGTAGTTGTTTTAATAGACGATTTCTTTGAATGAGAGAAAAAAAAAGTTACTCGACGAATGTAGGTTAATAGACTTTTTTTTTCCAATTAACCTAAAACGTTTCAATGGAAATAGAAAAGGTGAACATCTAGACTCGATCAAACTGACCAATGGAATAGAACGAGTGTGTATAAAAAGTTATGAAAGTTGTCCGTCGTTGTCAAATCTTACAATTATTGGAAGTATAGGGTTGAAGTCAAGAGCCCTTTGGATTTTTACATCTGGTCAGTAATTCAAAATTATTACAGTGTTACCGGAGCCCTATACGAGTCTCTGATCTGGCCATTTAGTTCACATGTGTACGAGGTATCGTTCAGGTTGAAAATGGCCATACCTTTGAACTTTGACCCTCGAATAAAGGAGAACTTTTGAACAGGTAACCTTTGTTCTAGTCCACCTGACCTATAACTTTTGTTGTTACTAGCAGGCATCCCCCCCCAAAAAAAACACTGCATACGAATAACAGCTATCAGCACGGATTCAAATCTATGTTTCCAACGCGAAGCTGGCAAGCGTTGTATATTAGTTTCGATAAAACAATTAATAAACTATCGTTATATTATGTATGAAAACCGTGATGATAATGTACTATAGAACTCAGAAGCAGCGTATTCTATATCATATTTAGACTAAGAAAGAAGCCCAGCATAATGTAATATGAAACAGATATAAAATATATCGGAGAACATAAAACAGTACATATAGAAATTGAATAATATCAAATTGAATGGAGAAACAGCTTATTGAAACATAGAACACAAAGACAGCGTAATATAGCCAAGAACACAGAAACAGAATAGTGCAACACAGAGTATAGAAGCAGTATAATTTAACCCTAAATACAGACAGAATGGAGTAAATAAAAGCAATAAAAACTGAATATCTAATACACGAACGATGGGACTTTCCAGAACATAAATAACGTTTACTTTACGAAATATACTTCGGCTGTAACGTTAGAAAAAGAGATAAAGCTTATAACATATCTTAAATATTAACAGAGCTGTTACCGAGAGCAATTTGATTGGTGGGCATAGAGGTTCACGAAATACCCAGCAAAACCCATGAAAAAAAAAAGTCTTCACTGAACGTAGTCATCAAAAGGTTCTCAAAATACTTAAAAAATAAACTCACGGTAAGAAGTCGTCGTTCTTAATTATGACAGACATTTTCACTCGTATACCTTATGTAGTTTACTACTTATTTCTCGTTCTAGATTGAAACAAATTTATTGTCATCTTCACTATCGCATAGTTTTATTTCATTCTTCAAAAAACATTAAAACACAATACTTACACTAAATCCATCTCAAACGACAATGATTATATATAAAGAGCCACTTTTATTGTACGCCCGATGTATTTCAACAAAAACGATCATATTGTTACGACAGCAGAAGTCACGTGACGCTGGTAACACGTAATGAG